TGCACCACTCACCGGTCTCGAGTCCCACGGAGGAGCTCCGGAAGGATAAAAGGAGGAGCTACGACAGTGAAAGATGAGAGAGGACCAGGCCTGGATTTTATTTTGGGTTTTGGTTCTGTTTGTGCACGACAGTCGTCCTCGAGAGGGGCTGTCGCGCTATTTTGTGTTTATTTTATTATTAAAGTTTTGTTTGAACGTTCGCCGGTTCCCGCCTCCTTCTTCCCGATCTACAAACTGTGTTACAGATGACAATACATTTATGATAATACATACCTCACCTGCATTTGTTAGTAAGTAGAAGTTTAAATAATTATGGGATAATGGATTTGCATTACTATCACCTTGATCTAAAGCAATTATGGCATCTGAGGACTAAAGACCAATTCCTAAAACTCTCCAAATCAAACCTGCCAGTGTGAATTTTAGTTGTGATTTATCTACTATCAGTGTCATTATTCTTGATAACTTACTCTAGGTCATATATAATGCAGAAGAACTACAGTCAATGGAGTAGTTTTGGCAATATATATATAATATATTTATACTGTCTTTCCATGACAGTGCACCATTATATTTCCCTATTGACAGTGAAATGCACTCAAAGGTGAAAGGTTTTAAGTATGGTTAGTAGAAGATATATTCAGCATAGTAACCCTGTAATGACTGTGATTTGTATACTTACTCCTTCACCGTTCTGCCCGGCGAGCATCTCCTGTAGAGCCCGCACTGAGAGTGACTGCTCCAGCACAAAGTTACAGATGCATAGGTCAGGAGGAAAATACTGTGGAGAGAGAGAGAAAAAGTGTGTCTGTAGTTGCTTATTTGTCTTTTGATTATAGATAAAGTCAGATAATTGGTAGAGTGGTTATGTTTACAAATTAAAGCCCTTCATTAGTCCCAAATAGATGTTTTGTTTTGATATGTGTTCATTAGGATTAGCTTGAGAGGCCAGCAAGGATTCACATGGGCAAGTGGTGAGCTCCACCCTTGGTCTAGAGAAGTCTTCTCCCACCCAACATCTGTTTATCAGGCTGCTATTTAAAGCCCCTTGACTGTCTAGTTCAGCTATCCTGAGAAAGTGAACATTCTGTCACCTTCTGATAACTAGAGTCTGAATCATGTACAGTCTTTAAAAACCCTTTTCCTACTAACATCTTCCTTTTGCGTTCAGAATTAAGCCATGACCAATGGTGAACAGTGCCCTTTCAGGTTTTAATACAACATGTGAGTGGGGAGAATGTGCTAAGTAGCGTGACAGATGCCTCTGGGGAAAGTCATCTGCAGCCATAAAATACAAAGAGAAAATACTATAGAAGTATCATGTCTCAGTCAGGTTAAAAATCCCTCTACGCAACTCCATTCAAAGGATTGTAACTCATACATTGTGTGACTAATAATATAAAATAATATAAAATTAACATCCAAGTGAAAGATATAATTCCAACATGCCAGACAAAAATAAAAAAAATAAAAAAAATAAAAAACCAGAATCACTGAGTTGGACAAAGGATCACCCCCCTCCTAAAAATGACTCAATCAGGTGTAGCTAATCACCTTCTCAAAGGCACACAAAGCCATTTGACTTTCAACTGTGATCAGTTGTGGTCATTTTGATGAGCTCAGCATGAAAAGAGGTTTCCTGGAGCATTTCAGTCTTTGGTAGTGCAACTGAAGCAAACAATCAACTATGGGTGTCAAGGCACTGTCAAAAGATCTCCGGGATAAAGTTGTGGACAGGCACGAGTCAGGAGATGGAAACGAAAAATATCCAAGGCTTTATCAATGCCTAAAAGCACAGTGGAGTCTATTATAAAGAAGTGGAAGGTATTTGGTACAACACAGACCCTCCTTGGATCAGGGAGTCGCTCCAGCTCGTATGGGAGGGTTGCAAGAAAAAAGCCACTCCTCAAGAAAGGCAGCATGCAGTCACGAGCTTTGAATTACTTGGCCTCGACACCAAACAATATGTCTGGCGGAAATCCAATACAGCTCACCATCCAAATAACAGCATTCCTACAGTAAAGCATGGAGGTGGTAATGTCCTGTTATGGGGGTGTTTCTCTGCAGCAGGGACTGGAGCACTTGACAGGATAGAAGGAAAAATGGATGGGGCAAAATACCGTCAAATTCTTGAGGAAAATCTGCTGCCCTTTGCCAGAAAGTTGTCAGTGGGAAGAAGGTTTACCTTCCAACATAACAATGAACCAAAGCACACAGCAAAACTGACCACACAGCAGTTAAAGGAGAAAAAGATTAATGTCCTTGCATGACCTAGTCAGAGCCCAGATTTAAACCCCACTGAAAATCTGTGGAATAACTTGAAGACTGCAGTCCACAAACGGTCATCATCAAATTTAACTGAACTTGAGCAGTTCTGCAAAGAAGAGTGGGCAAATATTGCAAGGTCTACTGTAGATGTGCAAAGTTAGTAGAGACGTATCCCAACAGACTAAAGGCTGTAATTAAAGCAAAAGGTGCTTTAACAAAATACTGACACAAGGGGGTGAACCTTTTTCCAACTCCGTGATTCTGTTTTTGTTTTTGTTTTTCTGACATGTTGGTGTTATATCTTTCACTTGGATGTTATAAGTTGCACTGAGTAAATAACATTAATCTAAATTATTAAACAATGTATTATTAAATAATATTTGTATTAATATTATAACTGCACACATTAGACTTAAGAATTAAAACTTAATGACCTGAAATACGCTGTAATTAAAGCAAAAGGTGCTTTAACAAAATACTGACACAAGGGGGTGAACCTTTTTCCAACTCCGTGATTCTGTTTTTGTTTTTGTTTTTCTGACATGTTGGTGTTATATCTTTCACTTGGATGTTATAAGTTGCACTGAGTAAATAATATTAATCTAAATTATTAAACAATGTATTATTAAATAATATTTGTATTAATATTATAACTGCACACATTAGACTTAAGAATAAAAACTTAATGACCTGAAATACGCCCCATATATATGAACCCTAACCTCTATATATGTGTTTAACATAAAATGCCTTTCCATTTATAGTTTTAAATGTACATCTGAGAGACCACAGAGATGGCAAAGCATGATGGTAAAGGCTGACAGTTTTATCTTTTACGTCACTCGGGCAATTACAGCAGATGTCTTAGCGTCACTGAGGGTTATCCATCATGCATTGCAAGTGAATCCATAAGGATATGCATGAAGAAGACCAATACTTTACATGATAACAGAAAGATTATCATCATTATCCACCTTTATTTTTTACAATGTAAGACCAAGGTCAGGCTCAGTAGATACACTGCATATAACCATAGAGATGCCCACACATCTTCTACTGCCTTGCCTCCTGATGCATAGAAAATATTGTGCAGAGCACTAGGATCAGTTGCTGTTGCCATGGTTTTCAACTACATGAATCTCTTCCCATTAATTTGATGTATTGCTAGAGGACAACATATCAAAGGCAAACATTTTTGAACCATTGTAAGTCTCCCTGTTTCACTCTACATGTATTTTTAACCATGCAATTTTCTTTCCACGTAAAGAGCTACATTGTTTAAAGCATTCCTTAATCAGTATACTGAAAGAAAAAACATATTGTGTAATACTAATATTATGCACTTCTATATTGTAGCTGTCTAGGAACTAAATAAAAAGCTGTTTTCTAAACTGCTTTGCTTCAATCTCTGCATTGTGGTTTGTGTGGGAAGGTTTAGGGATATTGAAGCAGTGATTAGCTTCTCAGAACACATGGGGCTTTACCTTCGCCTCTGATGTGGGCTCTAGATAACACAGGCGGTTGCCGAGTCCCTCTGCTGATAGGCAGAATTTGCGATTCTCCTTCTGAATGGCGGCGACACACTGCAGTACCACCTCATCATCCTGCCAGGACAAAAACAATGAATTCAACTTATGCTTAAAAGCAAAAACACACCAAATACTTTCACTCAATGTAGACCCAAAAGCTCAACGCAACTTTAAGTCAAAGCATCTGTCATTTCTGTGAAACCAGCATTACCAAACAGCACAGCAAAAAATAAGATCTGTTTTCAAACAGGTTTCCTAGCCACTGCCCCTACCTGCCATTGGCCAGCCAAACAAATAGTCCCACCCCAAACTCACACCATTGGCAGAGCCACTGCCCACTGTTGCTGTGTCAGGCTTGTTGAGAAGCTTAAAAGAAGCAATTTTTTTGATAGCGCCCCAGTGTTTGCACTTTTCAGGGGAATCAGTCTAAAAATTAATTACTTATAGTTAGTCACATATTAAAAAGAGAAATGAGAAAGTTTTTTACCATTGAAAAAAATTATACATTTTAGTTACACAACGTTCAATAGCAACAATAAAATGGCTATCAATAGCTTAAACATATAAAATAGCTACCAATAAAATACCTACATATACAAAAAAAAGCGCTTTTAAAGAAAAGCTGAACTTCTCAAGTCCCTTAAAAAGAAATGTAATTGAAAATTCATATCAAGTCATAAACAAATAAATGCGTTTAAATAAATGTTATTGATGTAACAGCTATTATCTCAAAATGTCACTGGAGGAAAGGAAGAAGACTGGAGAGACACTTATGTCATTAGAATCCACTATGAATCTCTGTACACCCTCATTCTCACTGAGGAGGAATATATTGACTTCTGTCTCATTTGTGTTTCCTTTTCTTGTGTGCCAACTCACGTATCTCATTAATCCTAGCTGATGGTTGCCATGGTTCTGATGAACACCATCAGTGCTGTAACAATTCCTTAACACAGTCACAGTGCATAAGTTCATATTTTATATTTCATTCATCAGGTTCAAGACACGTTAATGAGATGAGAGCTAACAAGAACATCCAGCATTCTGAATACACGCATAATAACCTGTGTGTATTTGGGTTTGAGTTATGCTAATTAAAGTGGGCTGTCTAACTCTGCTGTCTAAGCTATGCTAAAACTGAAGAGTGACAACAGGAACTCTGGTACTCTGACAGTAAAGCAGTGGAGCACCTAGTAACATAATACAGATGCCAAACCAACATCTGTTGTTAACAAATAAGCCTGTATATAAATGTTTTCATACATTACCTTTCATGAAACTCTATTTGTTAATAAGATCAGTCTCCGCCAAAAAGCATTATTACCTATACTACCATTAAAAAGTTTGGGGTCAGTAAGATTTTTTTTTTTAACAATAAATGATCAATTAAAAATTAAATGCATACATACACTCTAAAAAATGCTGGGTTGTTTCAACACAACTTTGGGTCAAATATGGACTAACACAACTTTTGGGTTAAAAATGTAATTAAAAAATGTAACCCAGCAGCTGGGTTAGTCCATATTTGACCCAAAGTTGGGTTGAAACAACACAGCATTTTTTAGAGTGTATAAGGATAAAATATACAAACATCACTCAAATCTACAGTATATGGTATGTGTTGGTGCAGTGGTATGATTCTTGTCTAAATTGTAAGCAGTCTCAAAAATTGCTACTGCATATCAGTGGAGGCATATCATAACTGGGGCCACATTTGAGTGCATTTTATTTTGTGATTTCACTGGAATGGACAGCAGGCCTCAGCACAGGTTTGGTGTCACGTTGACATTCTACACAAATATGTTTGGATCAAGTACACTTTAGATACTGCTGCAAACTGATCAAATCAAATGGTGAGATTTTTTTTTTTTTTTTTGCCCATACAGTGAAAGTCAATCAGGTCAAGTGTTGTTTTGGATCTCATTGGATAAAAACAATGATTTTTAAAATATTCTTTTGTGTTCTACAGAAGAAGTAAAGTCATAAGGGTTTGGAGCAACATGAAGGTGATTTTGGGACAAACTAGCCTATTCCTTTACCACTCTGCATAATATTATGTGCAATAGTGCCAATGTTCAAAAATAAAAAACTCATATGCACTATATATGTACATATTGTCACAAATTCTGTGCACAACATTTAAAGGGGTCCTATTATGCTCTTTTACAAAGTCTTGATTTTGTTTTGGGAGTGTACTAGAACAGGCTCTCATACTAGGTTGTTTGAAAATATGTTGTTTCACATATTTTACATTATTACAACACCTCTCTCCCCAGTCTGGCATGAGCGGCTCGAATAGTTCCTGAATCAAATGAAGGCCCGCCTTCTGAAATACGAAATGTGCTGTGATTGGTTAGCTGGGCCAGTGTGTGTTGTGATTGGCAGCACTCGGCGCCTGGTCGGGAAATGTCATGCCCCTTACCATAGCTTCAGTGTAAATATTGCGTCAATATCAAACCA